TATATATATATATATATGATTTTTAATTCTACATTAATATTTCATATTTTTTATATTTTCTGACTGACTACCACAACATCTTTATGGAATGGTAAGTAACTTTGAATCAGATAATAATAAGTATGTGGATAAGATGCAACAGTTTCTCTCTTGACTCACCACATATCTGACAGCACTGATGAACTGGTTGTGGAAGAGGAGGTGTTGGGATTCGTCCTCTGGGCTGGAAGGAGAGTACAGCATCCCACAAACGTTACACGTCACCGCACCAAACGCCTTCTGACCAGCATCCTGTAAAGCACAAAAAACAGCCATCACTAAATGCTAATGAGCACCAATGCTCCAATGTAAAATAATGATGGGCATGTTGTATTCTTTTCTAGATTTAACTGTTTATACCAAAACAATCTCATAGTTGTAACATATTATTCATTTATTTAACACAAAGTCTGTAAGTTAATAAATTAAAAAGAAAGAAATACAAGGAAATTACGATTAATTAATCCAAACGGGGATGGGGGATAAATTAACCCAAGCAAATACACAAAGTTTGTTAGGATATAAATGACTTGCATTGCCGGACTGTGCTGCTGTACTAGCAGGTTTAGGGCTGGTTGTGACCTCTTTCTTCTGTTCTGCTCCAGGTTCAACACTAGAATTTGCCATGAAATGTCAACAGAAAGGGTTTAACTCATAGATGTTAAACAGCTTTTCTATAGAATGATTTCTAGACTCGAGAATAGACTAGACTCACAGAACAGATGGTACTCTAATGACATTAATTCTTTTGAGAACATAATTTTAACAACACATTGAAAGCTGCAGTGTGCAATTTCTGCTCTAGCATCAACAAACGGAATTGCAAAAATAGTGAATTTCTCAAAAATGTATCCAGAACAAAATAATAGCACCTCAAACTCATGGCATTGGTTGTGTCAGTGTTGCCCAAAACAAACAAACAAGCAGATCCACATTTCATTTATTTTCAGGCAAATAAAATCAAATATCTTACTTTTAGTTGCATATTAAGGGGAAGTCGTGGCCTAATGGTTAGAGAGTCGGACTCATAACCCAAAGGTTGTGGGTTCGAGTCTCGTACCGGCAGGGATTGTAGGTGGGGGGAGTGAATGTACAGCGCTTTCTCCCACCTTCAATACCACGACTGAGGTGCCCTTGAGCAAGGCACTGAACCCCCAACTGCTCCCCGGGCGCCGCAGCATAAATGGCTGCCCACTGCTCCGGGTGTGTGTTCACGGTTTGTGTGTGTTCACTGCTGTGTGTGTGCACTTTGGATGGGTAAATGCAGAGCACTAATTCCGAGTATGGGTCACCATACTTGGCCACATGTCACGTCACTTTAAACTAATAAAGCATTTTCACAAAAAAAATACAATTCAACAGGATATTGTGCTTTTTCACAGACTGGAAAGCAAGTTTTTACTTTTCAAATCTTTAATGAAAGTCCTTTGAATTACCTGTTGCTGTTTTCTGTTTGCGTCTTTTGGGCAGGT